TTACTTGCTATTTACTTTCATTTATTACTCTAATTTTCGAGAAGCATATAATATTACTTTCAAGCTTTTATAAAAGATGATTTATTAATCTATAAATTAATTAATTATCACGTTCTACTTTTGTCTCGAGAGAAATGAATACTTTACTGTTTTAAGAATACTTCCCATCGTTCTTCAATATTGTCCGTCGTATCCTCCAATATTTGTTATGCGTTTTATTTATTTTTAATATTTCCGTGGATACCATTGAAAATGTTAATGTGAAATTATAACGAGTATTTCACTGGTCAGACATTAAAACGCTATAGAGACATTTACCCGATGCCAGATCACTTATTGAGTCTGTTACTTATCAAGTAATGATACCATTGTGATACGTCTCCGGCTGAATTGAACATAATCACGATCGCGAACAGAATCTAATTGAACAATCCGCTAAAGCGCAGCTTAAATGGCGACGAGCGACACAAGAAACGGATCAGGCGGTCGTTATTATTGCGGGTGCTCGAACGAGGAAGGTTTCGCGCCATTCATCAGGTTCCGTGCGCGTTAAAAGCGCCATTGAAACCCGGGGATTCCCGTGTCTTAATCGCCGCCCAGAGACTGTCGATCATGACCGAAAAGAGAACTGCGATCGGGCACGAACGAACCTTTCGATACACGGAAGAGAAGGAAACCGCACCGTGAAATTGTCGCAAGAAAGTAATTGAAAAAAGATGATCATCCGTAATGGACTCGAGCCATTACAGATAGAGGTAACAACGTCGGATAGAGGTGTCATTAGAAGCTTATCGAACAGCATCGCGACGCGCGCCAAGCTATCGCCGATACTGATTAACACGTGGACAGCCTAGGGATAATTTCCAACGAAACACGGTGCTATCGTGAATCGCCGATAATGCGGTCGGGACGATTAATGGCAACGCCGTCGACGAACGATTTTACCGCGGCGAGTGTCAAGAGAATTTCATAAAAATTCCAATTAAGCTTGGGATACAACTTTTTTCCTCTAACAACGTGCTTCAATGCGCAGATTAAAATAACGTCCTATATATTATGTATTGTACATTATAAATTAAGCATCGTGTATCACGTAGTTGTGAAATATTTCATGTGACACATACAATCACATGACATCCGACCCGTTAATCTCGATCTCCCAACCCCCGTTTCTCGCACGAACTGTCCCCAAACTTCGCGAATCTGCTTTCTCAAATCGCCACGAAAATTTTCGAGAAACTTCTCGCTGGAACGATAGGATTGAGTTGGGCGAGGAGGCGAGACAGACGGCGAGGAACACAGGTACGCAATAAAGGGAGGGTGGTCCGAATACATTTTTTCGCGCGTTTGTACGTCCACGCATGCGAAGAAGTTCCGTTATTCCCGGCACGAACTTTTCTAAAAGGGTGGCATGAATTTTTTATAAACCATGGAATTCGTATGCCCACCGCGGCGAGCCGCCGCGCGGGAAATTCTCTTGACATCGTCCCGCCGAGCAAAGTGGGACCTTAAGTTTCGTTACACGTGTGGCAACCGGGAAACCGTTCCTACCCCCCGGTTCAGAGAAAAATTACGATGTTTCGGGGTGGATCAGCAACAACCAACTTCCAGCTCCGCCGATCGAGGCTAGGTTGACCGATTGTTCGACTCGAGGGGTCTCGCCCGGAGAGACTGTTCGGTCGAACGATGAAACTTCTCAAGACGCTCGAATTTTCGGACATAATTCCGCCAGGTTTATTGTCCAACGTGAGCGAGCCAGCTACCGGGGTGACGAAACACGAATTTCCTCGCCGGCGGAGTTTAGGCATAAAACCGGGCAAGTTATTCATGAATGACAGGTCTGGTGCCAGAGCTTTTCGGAGAGAAAATACGCCGCTGACCTACATCTAGCGGTTCGAAAGTTTTGCGCATTGCGTTGCCTGTTTGATCATTGTTATTGTGGTAACGGATCAGTGAGTCGTCTGTTCGAGTCGAAGTTGCCTGTCGAAAGGAATCATTGTTTTGTTTGTTTGGACGTACAGAGTGTTGTGACGTGAACGAACACTGCTAAGTGAAACCGAAGAGTCGAGGTTGATGCGTTTGCCACCCTTGCAATCAAGCTTCATGTATAATGCACTTACACATGTGTGAACCTGAGACACCATTACTCTATCTTCGTAACGCCGCATATATGTTTCGAACACATAAACCATAAAGGTTTTATACTCGGCAGACAGAGGTTGCGATAAAATATGGACACGCTATAACGTTAGAAACGGTTACCAAGTAGTGCTGATGCTGCACCCTCAGGATTTTAAACGATTGGCGTCTCATAAATTGATCTTGCACCCCATCATCGCGAGCACCCGCTACTTCCTTCCTATGCCGTCCATCTTTTTTATCTCCTAATTTCATCCATTTCCGTCAAATTTGATTTCAACGTACAAAAACCCGATAAATCGATTCCGCGAAGCGCCGAACGTTCGTTTAAATTACACTTTCTTATGGGCCCTTGCATTTCCCTATTCCCCTCGTCCTCTAGCGCATAAAATCAACGATCCCATCCAACGGGAGGCATTATCGAAATCAAACCCCGAATGTCCGAATAAAACTTCGTCGACAGTTTTCGCGTGGTTCGTTCCTGATCGCGGACGATCCATACGAAAGCTTCATTATCACAAGATTCTCGTTTGATATTCGAAAATAATATCGTTCGCGAGTTCTGTTCACAGGCAACCACGGAAAATTCGTCTGGAATTACACCCTTCGCCGTCCTGAATTTTTCAACGTTTCCGGAAGCTCTCCTCATCTGGACCGATACAGTTCCTCTATTATTGACCTTTCACGCCCGTTACTCGAACCGCTTCCCGTTCCCGAGGTTTCTTCCGGCTCGATGAAGCTTCTGCATCAGAAATCCGGAAGATGGGGATCGCTTGATCGCACCGGGAACGTTTCAACATTTCTTCGGTCGTACGGGCTCGTCCGGCTCGCCTCCCAAGATTCTTTCTGGGCTTGCCGGGCATATTTCACGCATTCTATTCATAATCTCACTGTTAATTCCACGGTTAAATTATATAGCAAATAAATTCTCCATTTCCAAAATCAATAAAATACACGATGCAAAAGTGCAAAGTGTAAAGTCCAGAATATAAATAAAACATTCGATACATAAGGAAAACCTTAGAAAATAAAATTTTGGAAAAACCTATCAGACTTGTTATCTCGATATAACCAAAAAGTTGGCTCCTATTAAACGTAAGCGACAGGCAGTGCTTTGACAAAGTCAAAATGTCTGTCGAATACCTTAGCTCTTCAAGAATGTACCCACAATGGACCGCAATTAAGGACCTCCACCAGAGACGACACTGTCTAGATCAACCGCGTCGAAACGCGAGGCTCTAAGATTGGGTTTCCTCCCGTTTCAGCAATCGCGATCTTTTCCTTCTTTTCCGTCGCCCTTATATCAGCCGGATTCTCCCGTGCCAGCCTTCAGCTCGCAAATCTTGGCCGGCGGCAGGAAGCTCGTGAAACCGCCGGCCTTATCCGGCGAGACGCATTCGAATCCCTTTTCGACGTTGCACTCGTGTCGCCCATTTCCAGGTAGCCTTTCGTGTTACGTTCCAACCGGCCGAGCTGGCCGGGGTTGAGGTCGCCGAGAATCTTTGAATGAAATCCTCGAGAGCCGGACCCGAGGCCCCGACGGCAAAGACCCGTCCTTTCCATCGATCCGCACTCCAGATTAGGTAGAAGTATCTGCTGGGAGAAGGTCCGCGGCCAGAGGTGAAATACGCCGAAAGGGGTTGAATCGCGCGAAACGAGATGCTGCGAAACGGGAACGAGGTCTGGGGGTTTGGGGCTACGAAAAAGCGGTTAGGAAGCAGCCAAGGAGAGCGGAAAACGCGGCGGACGTCGTTTTTTCTAAGTACCCATCCTCGAGGAGATCGAAGACAATGCTCGTACGCCCTTCATCCCCTTAGTTCAACTAGCGGATCATTTCGAGAATGATGCCGTTCTTCTCACTTTCGGGATAAAATAATGGTCACGTTTATTCTCTATCGTCTGTGGATCATAACACTATTTCCTGCAATCGTCCATCGATTCTTTTAAATGATGATTAGGTTCATTCTTCACATGACATTGGAAATTTGAATTAAGAAATTCTTTCTTTTCTGGTTGGAGTAGATAACTTTGAATTCCTTATCGATAAGAAAATATTGTAAAGGATTCGTTTAATTCTGACGGTAAGAGATAGATTTCTCAGAATAAATATTTACTTTGGACAATACAATGAACGGAATAATAAAGATTTATCTCGTACGCTGAGTCACATGGAAAGATATATCTTGGGGAACGGTTGTTTCATAAATGTTAAAACAACAAGAGTTGAGAAAATACGACGGCACAAACAGGGAGCATCTGAATCAGAGACAAAAGTGGTCGCGCAGGTTACGTAAGTAATGCAGATGTTGAGCTGCAACATATAATCGATGATGAAAACAAGCCGAGAGGAAGGAGCAGAGACGGAAATCTTCAGCTAAGTTTCTCTAAAATTTCGTCTACCTTAATCTTAACTGAATGTACGGAAAATTGCCATCTTCCTTGAACCACGGAATTCCTTAAATGCAAGATAAAGTCCTCGAGTGATTTGTAAGGTCGCGGTGAGAAAAAGTCCGACTGATTTGTCGAGAGAGGCTGCAGGTGAATCTTGAGTTTCCGAAGATCGTGTGTTTATCGGCTTGGCTGGTAAACCCGGGAAGCCACTGCTTTTGACACTTGGCAGTAGCCCGACAATGCCACGCAATACAGTTAATCGAGAATTGTTCGAAGGTAGGAAATATGTATACTCGCCCGTGCACACACATATACATTCGTCGCGGAGCGACCGATCGACGGTGCCAAGATCTATCCCGTAACGTTAAGAAAACTGAACCGCAAGACGCTGGATCCGACGTATGTGAGTGTGCCGTGAAACCGCATTGGCATTTTTTCTCCTCCAGTTGGCATGCGCGGGTGCCGTGTTGTGCACAGATTAAACCGAGGCGCCCAGGAAAGAAGAGTGGCCGGGAAGGAAGTTGGAATGAAAGGACTCTAGGTCGCCGCATTCTTTGTTCCAGCCAATCGCAGTGTATGACGGATGTCGCAAGCACGTAATTTCCATCTTCCTGGCGCGCGACCAACTCCTGGTAAGTGGCAAATGTTCGGGATAGAAAGGAGAAAAAATTGTGCGAGGAACTGGTGAGATCTGCGCGAGAATTATTCGGTTCCCGGGCTATTCAAGTGAGAAATTTTGAAATATGAACGTCCAATTTTCCATGTACGTTAGCTTTATGCAATAGGAAACGTGGAATGTTTCATGAAATTAAACATTATGTTCAATAATTTCGAAGACTCAAGTTACATCAATCTGTTGATCTTTATTTCTGTAATATTCAGTCTTTGATGAAAGCTAATGCACGGCTACACAATTGTTTTGATCTATTCTACTTCTTCTTGCACGGTCAGTTCTCCCTTGCTTCTGTGTCAAGTCACATTAGAGTAAGCCAGGATTGCTATAACAATCGAATAGATTGTGATAGAGTAGAATTAAGTCTGTTACCCTGGGACCACCTAAGACGCAAAGGGTCTTGGAGGTGTCGGGAGTTAGAGGATCTCAAGAGTCTGCGTTGCGTCTCACTAGGGTCTCGGGGTACTCGGAAATCTCGGTCTTAGAAGACTGGAAGGTCTTGAGGGTCTCAATGATCTCAGGAGTCTGATGTGTCTTGGAATCTCGAGAGTCGCGGGAATTGCGTGCGTTCTCGAGGATGTGGAAGCGGTGGATTCATATATGAGCGCTTGCAGATCAGGGACAAGAGTGGCAATGCTCGAGTAGCGGTTGAAAACCACACCCTGGTTAAGTGGCGTTTTCATTAATGCAATTCGGATATCATCTTGCAAATCCAGGAGCATTTCGGAAAACAACTATGACCGACCGGTAGGGTGTACTTCCTGTAGTCTGCGTTTAATAGCTGTTACAGACAGTTTTGTAGTAATCGTGCATTACTTGTAAAACTATCCCCTCGATTTCTGTATTTAGCAATTAGATAACATCAAAAGCAAGTGCATTGGACACGTAGGAACAGAACAAAAGGGAACAGTTGGAAGCGAGAACCTGGCGGATGTGGCAGCCTCAAGGGCTTACGAGATCAGTGACGTGAGTCTTAGGTGGATGCCTTCAGCCCATATCTCCAAGATACAGCAACACCCCGTTTCTCTCGAATTTATGACCGAAGTATCTGCCAGATAGGAAAGCTCGTAGATCTCGGCCGGAGTGTCAGAATTTGTGGTTCGTTCCCTGATCATCATCGGCAGGTACACGTATTACATTACACACGTTTCCGATACAGTTGTTCCAATAAAGAAATACTTCCTTAATTTTTACTGTTGTGTCATATTCATTGAAACGTATTTATGACAGAGTAAAATATCTTGTTCCTAATCGCAGGGCGAGTAATAAATTCTGTATTCCGTCTGTATCACAAATGTTACATCATCGAATAACTGGAGGACTGGAGGGGCCGATAATTCGAATAATCGAAAAAAATTATCTATTTATGAACGATGATATCTTTAAATGTTCAGAAACGAGATAATTCATCTTAACGGAAACGCTTTTCAATTGAATGTTTTCACCTCGCCCCGTTCCGCTGCATCAACGCAATGTAAAATTTTAACATTCATGCATTAGTTCGAAAACAAACTATTTTCTTGTCATTTTTATCCCGCCGTTTCGGGACACGATGTTACAGCGTTTTCCGGTCGCGTCTTCGCTTCCAGGGAACTGTAACGAAACAGGAACACGAGCGGCACAGAATTATTCTGCCTCGTGCTTTACTTGTTTTCAATCCGTCGAGCGAACATTGTCGCGAGCCTCGAATTTCTCGTGAATATTTTATATTCCGCGCGCATCCATTGCTCCGCCTTATCCGTTCGGCGCTTTGTCCTCCCGCAATCAGGACATAAGGTTCACCTTACTTCAGAGGAACGCCGACTTAACGAGGCCCGCCGGTAATCTTCGCATTCCGCCGGGAACTTTCGCTTAATTTTTCTTCAAACATTGTAACGCGTTTCTCCGCCATTGCATTTTCAGAATTTCATTCCCCCTCGTCGAACATTCCGTTTCTCCGTTGCGGATATTTCCACCGTACCTTCTTTTATTTCAGACATCACGTTTCACCATCGCGTCGTGACTATTTTACTTACTATTCCAGGCAAATCGAAACTATTACGAAACTCGTTCCCAGAATTTCGTGATTGTTCAAGTTCAAGTGACATTTTAGAAAACAATATTCACTTGTTAAACGATAGCATTGTCGTAATGTTGTCGATGAACGATAGTACGCATTTATCCTGTTACTCGTATATTACATTAACGTATTCATTACTATGACAGTGACATAGGAAAGAGATAATTCTTTATCAAAGGTATGAAGTTATTATCTATGAAACGAAGCAAAAGGTGAAAAGACTACGAACCTTAATGTCACGGATCCTATTTCAGCAAATATATTGTAAAACTATTTGTTTTTTAGAGTAATTTTCTTTCTGCTCAAGCCAAAGAATGAGCGTTCCGTATTGACGTGCAAGAACAATCGCGCCGGAACATCGAACGTCTCGCGGCTGACTGAAAATCCAGAGACAATAGAAATACATGAAAACAATTAAGTCGACGGGGGGAAACGTCGCTCGCGATAATTCTAACGTCCTGTTCTTGATTCGGATTGTACCAATTGTATTGAGTAGTTTATCCGATCGCCCATTGTGTCCGTTACAAAGAAGCGAGCCGACAATAGAGTTGACTTGTAGCGTCAGTTTCACGCACACGCGGGGGAAAACTTTCGATCCACCCTGTGGACGTAATCAAGCGACTTTTGCGGGCAACCCCCGTGTTCCATCTGTCTGGCCGATCGATCCGCGGTTTTACTTTTACGGACGGAACGTCCGGCCTGGCTTTTCTCAAGTTTCCGGCGAAAATACCCGATGGCCGAAACACGAAGTTTGGATGACGTTTCAAACTACTATTTTGTTTACAGGGAAGTAGGCAGAAGTTCGAATATCTGTTACACAGACGACGATCCGGCACTCTCAGGGGATTCGAAGCTCGCCTCTAAGGAAATTGAGATATTATCGGTAAACAGCCAATTTTCTGTGTTTTATTCAAAAGTCCTTTTAAGTTCGACTACAATAAACAGAGGACCACAGAGAAATAGAAACTGAAATTCTAAAATTTACCACGGAGATATCTTTTTTACTGTCTCGCGTTTCATAAATGCTGATGATTCTTTATCCTTGACATATTGATGCAGCTTCAAGTTTATTCTCGCGTTATTCCGGCAAATTACAAGACACAAGGAAACATTTATGCGTTAATATACGAATCTCCTACTCAAAAATGTAAGAAAAACTAAACAATCAATTCCGACGCAAAGAAAAGTATTCTATGGAAAATGACATTCTTAGGAGAAGTTTTAGCAGCTTCCGGGGATCTTACTACCGTGAGGACTAAACTCGCGTCACGCTAGTTCTTAGACCTCAAACGCCACCATCCGAGGGAAGATTCATGGGAGGCCATTATTCACAAACGATTTAGCGCAGGAATAATGAATACAGCGATCCATACGGGTAAGAGAGCAGACGGATGGGGTTGGAGGTTGACCCAAGGCGAAGTAAACCCGACAAAGTCGAAAGCATCCCCCTACGAACTCTTTTCTAACTGTTCTACATAAGCGTTTGAAAAGTAGCCGGAAAGACTTCTCCCTTCGGCCAGAACGCGGCATTAATATTCCCTGTGTCCAAACGTGAACGAACTTTTTGGCAGTGTTCACTTCACCGGAACAACAGTTTGTCAAGTTCGCGTCGAATTTTCTGTCGGCTCTGACAAATATGAATTTTTATACCTACTCTTGCGTCAGTAATAGTACAGGTTTGTCAAGATTTAAAAATTCATTACACGATAACACAGCGGTTGAACTGAATTCTGTTGCAACCCTTAAACCGCAAAAAAATGTTATTACCGTATTTGAAAAAACTGAAATCGAATTTCCATCACATGGTTCACGCTTCCGATAGAACGAGAACAAAACACCGCTGTACTCAATTTTATTGTAACATTCAATCTCCGAACCGCCCAATGATTACCGCGGTAAACCTGAAAACTTCCAGTTACTGTTTCATTAAATGAATTATTTCCAGTTTATGACAGCTCCATGACCGATGGATTGAGCAGGCGAACGTGTTAATGAACTGCTTGTCTTCGGCCATTTTTCATCGGAATTTTCAATTTCAATGAGCGGTGAACGGATCGATTGAACGGCGCGATAAGGCAACGAGATCCATAAACTTTCGGCGGGCACAAGTGTAATACGCCACGCCGGGGCCGCCGGATTTGTTCGGAGTCAGGCGCTCGATATAAATCAAGCGGCGCGGTGTTGTACCGGCGCGCCGGCCGAGTTCCGCGCGGCATGCCACAGCCAAAGCAAATATTTTATCCCCGCGAATTAGCATAGATTTCGGGGCTCGCCGAATAGGAAGACGTAATCGCTGAAAGGGTTTATCTACGAACTTGAACCCGGCCGCCGGTCATATATCGCAGCCGCGATTTTATGAACGAAAGGAAACGCGGATACCGCACTGATATCCAGCGATATCGCGGAACTCTTTTTCACGGTTGCGTCGCCTAACCACGCGAGGAGAATTAATTGCTGTCGCGAGGCGAGCTTACATTTAACGCGGCGCCCGACCGCCTCGGATTACAATATTCATGATGTTACTTCATGAATAAACGTTACACAACGATATTATAAATTGATGCCCGCGTGTAATTAAGTGGGCCAATATTTGGCTTGCGTATCGATTTTAGATACGGTTTGCCGCATTTTGTTTTTTTTATCGTCCACGGAGAATCGGTTTTATAGATTTTAATGGACCGATGAGAAGCCAATAAATGCTAATGACTGGGCATACTTAAAACATCGTTCGTTTGAGCGGATAGGAAGGCAGCGAATTGGTGGCAGCTATTGGTTCTTCTTTTTATCATTCAACGAAAACGTTTCTTAAACGTACACTTATCGAATTGGCAAGAAGACACGAGCGGAACGGAAAAGAAATTCTCTTAGCTCGAAGTAAAATTTTTTACGCACGCTGTACTAGCGAGCCAGAAATTTCTCATCTGTCTACCGCGTGCTATGCGGACGTTTCGACGAATACATTTTCGTTAAAAGCATCGTAAATAATAACACCGCTGGAAGCCTAGCGAAACAGAGCGATACAAAGTAACGGAAAAAAGCGAATAATGGAATGTAAATTGCTAAATACGCATTTTCGATTTCACTATCAATCAACGTTAACACGATTCACCATGTCCCGGTGCGCAGCAAGAAAACAATTCGAACACGGATTTTACCGTAATTCCATGCGAAATGTATTCGAATCCATATAAATGACGCTGTTTATAAAGAAATATATGCGTGTGTGTGTGTGTGTGTGTACATGATAATTCGGTCTATTATTCCTGGCACACAGTACAATAGCTGCGACAATACACCTTTCAATTAATTTTCAATCTGCTTTAGGAAAATATTTCTCGATGCGACAGAAAAATGAATGTTCGTTCTGAAAAGGAGCGAAACATTTTGTTCTGTTTTATTAACGCCACACCAAATAACAATAACCATTTTTAATAAACTACGATGAAAGAACAATATTTGCCAAACCAGACTCTACTCTACCTTATAGCTGAAATAATGATGATTTTGTGCTTTCAAGCAAGATGTACTTTTGCTTGTAGAGTTTAAAATTAAAAAGAACCTTCTAGAATTTAAAAAAAAAGATATACGCTATCAAAGTGCTAAAGGAAGCTTCTGGAACAGTGATGGAAGCAACAGAAGAAACGAAACGACGTTTAAGGGCCCGGTAAGATGAAATCGATTTCCTGTCGGTCGGCGGACGGACTACTAGACGGTCAGACATCTTGCCGAGACGCTCGTCCGCCTACCCTCATAAATGAGTCAGCTTGCACTACGGTTGTAAGTCAGAAATAAAAACGCCCTGGTTATAAAGCATCGGCTCGTATCTGAAGCGTCTGGGAACCGTGGCAATGCTATCGCTTACAATCCGGA